CAACATGTCACATACACAACATGTCACATACAAAACATGTCACATACAAAACATGTCACATACACAACATGCCACATACACAACATGCCACATACACAACAAGTCACATACACAACATGTCACATACACAACATGTCACATACAAAATATGTCACATACACAACATGTCACATACACAACATGTCGCATACACAACAATGGAGATAACTTGTATCATTTACATTTGACTGGGTTTCTAACATCAAACGGCCAGAACTGACACATGTCAATTCTTTCTCACACAGCTTCTCAATTTTGTATGTGAGTGAATGATTTTTTTTCTTAAAATAACTATATATAATCTATTGAAATGTAGTTTTGCACATTTTTGTTTATATATGCCATGTTTTCGACAAAAAAACATTCCAACATAGTGAGAGTCAGATTTATATGTCATATATTATATCTGCATGGTCAATATTGCCAATTCCAGAATTATGGCAATTTAATGCATACATATAGTTTGATTTACTACAGAAACCATATTCCATGTTTAGGACTACGTGACATGGCTGTGTAACCATCTTCCTATCATAATGGCATTATGGTAATTTAATGCATACATACATACAGTGCATTTTTCCACAGAAATCATATTTGTTGTTTAGGACAACATGACAGGGCTATGTGACTGTCTTCCTATCATCATGACATTATGGTAATTTAATGCATACATACAGTGCATTTTTCCACAGAAATCATATTTCTTGTTTAGGACAACATGACAGGGCTGTATGACCATCTTCCTATCATAATGACATTATGGTAATTTAATGCATACATACAGTGCATTTTATCACAGAAATCATATGCCATGTTTAGGACTACGTGACATGGCTGTGTAACCATCTTCCTATCATAATGGCATTATGGTAATTTAATGCATACATACAATGCATTTTTCCACAGAAATCATATTTCTTGTTTAGGACAACATGAGAGTACTATGTGACCGTCTTTCTATCATAATGATATTAATTTAATACATACATACAGTGCATTTTACCAGAGAAATAATATTCCATGTTTAGGACTACATGACAGGGCTGTGTAACCAACTTCCTATCATAATGGCATTATGACAACTAAGCCCGTCGAGCACAAAAACCGGCAGACAAATGCTCCACCCCCAAATTCGTATTCATTTGCCAATGAATCCCAACCAGTGGGTTCGAGCTTCGCATTGATTCTGTTACACATTTTGTGAGTAGGCTCTGGTCAATCATAAGTTCGAGCTGCTGATGATTGATCTTAATACATATTTGATTTGCCTTACATGCATTAACTACAGATAAGTATAATCGCAATCATAATACAATATGACAATGTCGATGTTCGTACTTTATCAATTACTTTCAATGATCTTAATAACCCACCTATGATGTATTCACTTAACACAGACTATTGATACTATAGATTTTATTCGCAAATGGCTGCCGAGAGGAGAACGAGATAGCCACAAGACAAGTTTTTGCTCACTTGTTCTATTTTCTACCATCATCTTATTTACTGTAGACCTGAGCAATATACCCATTATATCTGTAACAGTTGACGCGGTGACAGTAGAGGATTAAACATGTTCTCGGCGTTTGCAAATACGGTCCACAATGAATGTGATGTTATATACTTATTATATACTGTTCTTGTCTATTTCAGAAATTTTATCACTGATTGTAAACAAGGCACGAGTGTGGTTTTCATTAAAACTGCAAGCAGCATACTGGCTTCCATCATACAGCGATTTGGTTACACACACAATTTGTCGTTTGTATTTAGTAATACATATCTGCCTGTAATCAAAAACACTGACACAAATGTTTCTCATTATGTATATTATTTAAATAATCATGCCTGAATTAAACTCGCCCAAAAACAGTAAAAAAATGTCTTTGAAACAATAATGTTTTAGCTTGTCGTTTTACGTATTTTATCATAGAACACTTATAGAGGGCCTAAAGTAACGACAATGATGTGTATAATTTTAAAACATATGAATTTAAAGCGTTGAACCACGATATATTTAAACGAAAATGTGAAAGGCATTACTAATAGTTACGCTATAAACGAGTATAATGATTATTTCGTAAGGAATATAATAGTGCAATTTTATTTTTTAAGGATTTTTTTCCTCAAACAAAACATTTACTTACCATGTCGTGAAACAATATATTGACATGCGGAATACAATTAAAGAAAGCTTTGAATGATTTGACTGTTTCAAATATGCAGACGTGCTTCATCACACATCACGTACAGGAAAGGCTAGTTCAGCTAGGCTTAATGAACAAAACACACATTGTAATCATTTCTCAGGTGCATGCCTGATGCGACTGTGTAAATATTGCGACTAGCACTCATTATTTCTCCGGAGTCGCACGTGTAAGTGAATGTATATCAACGACAGAAATCGAGTATATTTTAACTATAATATCAAATATATAAAACCCCGTGAAGTACATGTATCACACATTGCCATCAAAATCACATTCCTGCAAATTACGCTCCCTATCGGCAGAAGGTCTGTTCACAACTGCGAGCCATGGTGGGGTATGTTACGTAAATCTCCCTGTGACACTTGATAGAGGTAACTGTCCTAATTAATTGATTAGATCTACTCTTGCTGGCTAGTAGTGTCAAGCTCAGGTCCACAGCTCGTTAAACAATATTTCATATTTTAAATATATAATTTCTGGGTAACAGCGTTCCCAAGCTAAGCAAATACAGTATTTTGATCTGGCAATTTAGGATTAGAACTCCCATAGGACCATATGGTAGATATTAATGCAAATATATATTATCTTACCACAGACAGTTGATCGTGGCACCACTTAAATCATCGGTGTGTTACTATTTATAACAAAGTCACTGAATATTGCAAAATAATGAGATGTGTTTCAATTAATATACAGGAATTTGTTTGTTTGTTTATAGATTGTTTGCCCCGTGTTTCTGGTGTCATTTGATTCTTATTCAAAAAATAATGAAGGATATGTTTTTTTTCAGTGAATGGAAAATGAGGGATGACACATTTATTAGGACATGAAATTGTATGTGTTTAATTTTAAAACATCTCCATTCCAGTAATTCTACGGATACACTTATTGATATTTTGTGAAAACTATTTCATCATGCATATCTTACGCAAATGTGATATGCATTGTATATCCAGAAAAACATACTTATTATAAATATCGTTTCATTGTTGAACTATCTTAATAGTAATTGGTTACAGTAATTCAATGACCATTTCTCACATAATTCGTAGGCCCCTTTGTCCTCGACATGTTCTCTGATGTTGTACAAATCTGTTAGCCTTGGATGTGTTAGATGTTCAAATCTTGCTTTCCTAGTTGCGTACATAATAAACCTCAATTCTTCAAGTATAATGGCATAATATACACGCTCTATTCTGAAAGACAATGTACAAAATGGATATATTGTAAAACAAATCATTCGGCACTTTGGTTTCTTTGTGAGTGGGAATTTTTTATAATACAGCCGTCATCAGTACGGTAGCATTCGACAGTTGTTTTCAATTTTAATGTGTATCATTATAAATATACAGATGAGGTAAGTTGTGTGTGTTATATCTGTGCTATATATATATCTACCCTGATGATAAGATGGCGGCACTGCACATGTAACACGGTTGGCAGCTAGTGTATATCTCACCGCCTTCTAACGTCGATATTTGCATTGAGGCACATGCGTTTCTAATAGCAACCATTTCAGCATGAGCAGAGAAGTCACATCCCAGTCCATACGAGGATATTGTTTGGGAAGAATGAAAACAAAAACGTTGTAATACATTCACAAGTGTAGAATATGGGTAAAATTACCTTTAGTTTGATTACCTGTAGTTTGAATGAACGTTTTTTATACATTGCTGCTCTGAACTATCCTTTATGTGTACAGCATTTATCACATCCATGAGAGAAATTATTTGTGTTGTACAGTAAACATCATGTGTTGTATGCACGTACCTACAACTATGCCTTGTTTGACCAGCACTGCACCATATGGCCTGCTAATGTCGGGTTTCTTTTCAAACGCCCCAATATAACTGAGATCTACAGCTCTTCTCATGTAACTCCGTTTATCGTCATCAGTAGGCTTGTGTCGGGCAGAAGCCATAGGTGTGATTCAACAAACATTAATTGTGTGCTCAAGAAAGGTATATATCTGCTCGCAGTATATTATTTGCTTGTTACGCAGATTGCCGCTAATAATAGCACCAGTTTGTGATGCTCACAAAAATGAAAATTTAATTTTTTTATTAGACATAAAAGGTAGTAGCTTCATAAAGGACCAGACAAATTCATATTCTAGTCCTGTTATTTACAAGATAGACCATCGTTGCCCAAAAGTCACGTCTTTTTGATGAAATGGTGTGTGACCTACCAATGATACTAACTAACGTAGTGGTGAAATATTATTTGATAACTGTTACGCTTGTTCCATTAACTCTAACACATTATATATGACTGGTCTATTAATGATTATAAAACGAATTCATGTTATTCCTTGAAATTACTATTCATGGTTTGTTTTTATTCCACAGAGATCGATTGAGAAACGATCATGTAAGTATTAATATAGATTTGCCACTCAATTTGTTAACCTTTCCACCTCCAGACTATCTCGCCCAAATTTTTCAGCATTTTCTTTTTATATTTTTCAATATTTCTAGAAATGACTCCTAATTTTGGAGCCAATTTTCAGGAACTGCAAAGGTTGAGGATGTATTCGTTCATCTGCCCCATAATTGTTTATTGTGCGTTACAGATGTTTTATACCAATCCGCTATTAGACAAAATAGTCCCCATCAATAAAAATATGAACAGTATTTTTTTGAAGTTCTACAAAACAGTTAGTGAGTACTGTATCATTCGAACAATGAATCACATTGACGTTTGCTATTATCATGATTACTATAATTTTTTATTAATTTTCCTTTACAGCAAAGTATGAGTTCGTGAATGAGGCAATGATGCCAAAGCTGCGTGTGAAGCCAAGAATAAAAGGCTTGCAGAAATCCGCTCACAGGCAGATGAAGATGAAGCAGTAGAAGCAGTTGGCGGAGGAGCAGGTCTGACATATATATATATTTATCCATATTCATCCAATACTTATGTGTATAACACCATTGTAAAAACTATGCATGTGTAGCCTGTTAGCCTATTGCTTCTTCATTGATTATTATTAGTAGTTTCTCTTGTAAATTGGTTTCAACATTAAATCCAGAACCATTCAAGGTAATTAGGGCGAATTTGTTTGGAGAATGCGCGGTGATATGAAGTGTATATTCTTCATAGCTCACATAGTCAGTGTAAATTTTACTCAAGAA